GCATGGTCTCCTTAGAAAACCATTATGAAAAGAAAGCCAAGAGAAGGAAGAAGCACAAAAGATTCCCCGGGGGAAGGACAAGAATGGGGTGGAAGTCAGTGCTGTGAGAACCTGGCTTCATTGTAGAGGAAATAACCTTGAAAACACACAAACCCCAAAGCAGAGTCATTAGCAGGAGAGCTCATGTTTGCTCTAACTTGGGGCCCCGCTCATCGTCCACCCCCCTCTTCTCCATCATCAAACTGGGGCCGATTCCGAACAGCTGGGGGTTTTACCGGCTCTGGACAGGGGTACAAGAAGGACCGGAGGCAGTGAAGGCGTTCACGCCGGCCCCCTTCCTCCGGGATCGAGGGGGAGATGTGTTGGTGCCATGCAAATAAACTCCCTAATCCTGCCTGAAATGAACACAACTGCAAGTTTATGCCCAATGCCCTGGGGAAGGCAGGTCTTGAGGGAAACTGCAACCGCACCTCCCTCTTGAACTACAGTGACTCTTTCCCTGAGGGCCTTCCTGTAGTCGAAAGCCACCACCTGGACTACTAATAAGAGGGAAAAGAAAGGAGGAAAAGGAAGGGGGCGAAGGCCAAAAGTACGCTCCAGCTGATCCTGGCAACGTCGCGAAGAGTAAAAAGAATCAAATGAACACAGGGACTGGCACGCTGTTAAGGGCTTGCTTCTGTTAACACATTTGCCCAAGTCTAGCTTTAGCTCCATATTATATGGAAATTCCTTGTTTACCATCCTCGTAGGAGGTCCTTACATATCTGCCTGCGAACTCCAGTGATTGGGCGCTTACTAGTTGGGGGAGGCAGCCGTCCCTGAGGGCGTCCAGCTCGGAGGGCTGGCTGCTTCTTCACTTGTCCGGAACTTCCCCCCCCCCAGTGGTCTTAGTCTCCCCTGGGATTTGGTACCGACCGAGTGCCATCCTCATTTCACTTGACCGAGTCCGAGCTGCAGCCCACGGTAGGAGCTGCAAGGGCTGGGCAGAGTTCCAGGCGAGAGGGGCCGAGAGGCGTGAGCAGCGCGCCACTGCGCTCGTCAGAGAAATGGAGCGGCGGCTTCTTTGTGGGCTGCTACATCCCCCTCCTGGGGGCACGGCGGGGACATTTGATCTGCAGGGTGATTGATAAGTGCGGGAGAGGGGCGGCCGTCCCTACCTCCCCCCCCCCCGCCCCCGTTCTTCTTCCCCTCCTCCCTCTCGGCTCTCTCCCTGCTTCCTGCCAGAAGCGCTGCCCGGTGGCGAGCCGCTCCAGTGGGGATCTGCCTGCCCTTGGGGGCGCCGCCCGAGCTCGCCGCCGTGACCCCCGGCTCCCCGGCGCGCCGGTCCGAGGCTGTACCGGCTCCCGCGCCTCCCGGCTGGCCGATGCTGCAGGCGCCTCCGGGGGAAGCTGCGGGTGGCGCGCTCGCCGGGTAAGTTCTCAGCACTCGGGAACGCGGCGCTCAGCCCCCTGCCTTTCCCGGCCGCCTCCCCTCGTGGAGGCGGGGGGCGGGGGGGGACCGGGTGCGGGGAGCCGGGGCGCGATCCGCCGGGAACCGCGCGCCGGCGGCCGCCCTCGGTGGCCGCCCCCGCCCGCCCGGGCTTGCTCGCTCCGAGACAGCCCGCGCGGGCGTGGTCGGGCTCGGGGCGGTCGCGCAGCCCGGCGGGCCACCGCCAGCCGGGCGGGCCCCGTGTGCCGAATGAGAGCCGCCGGTCCCGAGAAGAACGCTCGCCGGGGCGAAGGCAGCGCGCGTGGCGGTCGCAGCTGTGGGCCCCAGCGCCGGGCACCAGGCATCCAGCAGCCCAGGGGAGGGCGAGGAGGACTGAGCTGGCGGTCGGTGCCCGGTGCCCGGAGACCTGGGAATGGCCTGGCCCGCTGGCCGCCGGAAGCGCGCTCCGAGAACCGTACCTGCCGGGGGGCGGGGGACGGTGCGAGAAGGGCGGGCAGGCGGCTGACACCCCTCCCCGGCAGGCCCGCCGGACTCCCGTTAACCCCCCTCGAGGCCTGGCGGGGGGCCGGGCGGCGCAGGCTGTAACCCCGCCGGCCCTCCCGGCGCCCTGTGGAAGCACCGACGACCCGAGCCGGGCTCGACTCAGATGCGCGGGAGATCGAGGCGACGGAGTCCCCGCTTGTGCCTCCCTCGCCCCAACGAGGAGAGGGAGGGTTTGCCTTATTTTAGCGTCCGCCTCTGCCTCCCTGGGGCTCCCAGTTCCCCCAGAACCTTTCTGCCACCGCAAAAGCCCGCTCTCCCTAGCGGGGTGCCGCGGCGGTTCTCCCCGAGACGCCGGGCCAAATGAAACTTACTTAAAGTGCTTTTTCCGGGCTGAGGCTCATTCGATCCCAGTAACTGTGCTTGGGGAAAGCGGCTGTGGAGGCCGAGGAGTGGTGGGAGAGTCCACCGACCCGTGTCGGAAGCTAACCGTGGAAAGAAGATCTGTCACACCATCTCCGGGTTCCCAGTGTCGCCCCCCACTCCCGCCAGCTTACCACCGCATTTCCTTCACTCTATACTAATTTTCACGGATTTCAGGCTCTGCCAGCTGCCCCCCATCTATCTATCCCTTTCTCTCTCTCTCTGAAATTCTTAATAGTTTCTGTGCTCAGGGAGTATTGACATAGTCATCAGTGTCTTGCAGGAAATTATTTGCGAACTAAAACTAATATTTGATATTTCACTTTCAAATACAATTTTTTAAAAGGCACACATTTAGGTAAGATGCCACCACCAATTATTTAAGTTTAGGCAGATAGTTCTCCAATTCACACCAAGCAGTAGTGAGTTTTGGGGAAATCTCCTGGACCAGGATGCGGAATCCCTGGGTTCTGTTTCTCATTTTACAGATTGTTGAACTTAAGCAAGTCAGCACTTCTCCTGGTGGAGGAATGTCCTCATCTATAAAATGAATCTGATTGCAAAGGTCTTGTCCAGCTCTCATGTTGGCTTCTGCTTCCATGAAATATTAACCTAATTAATAAATGCTTGTTAAATGAATGACAACGAATAAGCCACATCTCTCTAGGAACTATGTCTATTTAATATTTAGAAATATGGAGGAACAAATGCCCTTTTGCTGTGAAAGGAAGCTTAATCGTGCACTGCATCACTCTGCATCTAATGATGCAATTGCCATAGAGAGTGGGGAGGCCATCACCCGGCTACCCCTCCCCCTCCGAGGACAGCTCAGCTCAGTGCCACCCTTTGGCACAGAGAAGGGAAATTTGAGGCCCCAGAAGGAAACGATCTTGCCCAAGCCCAAGCAAGAATTACAGGATGGGGAGGGGGCTCACGATGTCTGGTCCAAGGTTCTTCCCCGAAGGAAAAAGAGAGGGCAAGGTGAAAGCCTGAGGAACAGTCTGGAGGAGGCTGCCAGAGCCACAGGTTGCCTTAGTGCCTAAGTCTGTAAACTATCAGAGCCCTTCTCCGGGAGGAAAGAGCTGGTGCGGGCCGAACAAGCCTAAAGCCTGAGCTTACCAGGGAGGCAGGAGGGGAGAAGCGGGGGGCTTTCTGTTCTCAGGCAGCTCATTTTGCCAGTGGGATTGTCTCTATTCCAAATATGGCCCAGCAATGGGACCCTGTGTCAACTCGGTCTGAAGCAGGCTGGGACTGAAGAGGTGGGGAAAGCAAGTGTAAGTATTTGGTGGGACAGGCGCATCCTCGGTCCATTCTTTTGCCCGCTTCTCTTCCATTGCCTCCTTTTCCTGCCTCACCAGAGGCTGCGCCCGGCCCTTCCGGGCAACAGCAGACCTTCACATCTTGCAGATGGACTCCACGCTGGGAGACACCTGGCTCCAGAGGACCTTAAGAGAATTCAGGAGGAGCGAGATAATGAAGGCAAAAACCGCACACCTGGCAGTTCATAATGCTGCCTGGAGGCTTAGGCCCCCTCCGTGGGCTCCCACTCCTGGGCTCCCACACCCCGCCAGTGAGGCTCAGCCTGGCAGTGCCTTTCTGACGCCCACTCCTCCTTCCTGCAGTCGAAAAGCACACGTTTAAACTTCATTATCTGGCTAACTCTCAAGGGCGGGGGGGGGGGGGGGGGGGGATGGTTTTGTTGTGATTTCTCTCTAACGTTGAGCTGGCTTTCAGAATCCAGGCAAATATCTGTTTGGCCAGTCACCGCCCCAGAAAGTAATTCTCTCCGCACTGAAAAAAAAAGCTCTGTATGTAAAAGCACAAGTCCCCTCCTACACAGGCGCTCTGGAGCGGGCACACACCCCACTCGGCACCACGAGCATCAGAGCACACGAGCTAGGAGGCTGGCAGGCGGGCCCCAGGCCTGTGGCTAAGAGGCACATCTGCACACGCACAAACACACACAAACACACGCACCCCTCTCCCTGGGAAGATCTGGACCTCCGCTTGGGAATGTGGCATGAGACCCCACTGGAATGGCCCGGAGGGAGTGGCAGGTGGGAGAAACCACTCGAAGGCGCCCGAGGCCGGAGGAGTCCCAGCCCCTTCGCGGGGCCCCTCCTGGAGAATGCCCCTCCAGGGGCTTCGCCCGCCGCCCGCCGTCCGCCGGGTGGGAGGTGGAGTAGTTCAGATTCAACTGACGCAGCCGGCATTTGAGCTTTGCAAAGCCACTCGCAGGGAAGGGAAGCATCTGCCCCTCCCTCCCCCACCGCGCGCCCTGGATCCACCGCCTGCCCCCTCCCCGCGTGACGTCACCCTAGCCCTGTCCGGGGGAGCCTGCAAAACCTCTCAAATTCAAACTGCTCGGCGCACTGCTGCCGCTGCCACCGAATTGGAAGCGCGCGCCCAGGCTCGGCCGCCGCTGCCGCCGCCGCCTCCCGCCGCCCGGAGCCTGCCGGCTCTCCGACCTCCCTACGCAGTCGCACCCCCGGGTCCCCGTCGACTCGGCCTCCCGCCGCTCGGGCCCTCCTCTCCTCCCCTGCGGCCTGCCGGATTTCTAATTTCTGCGCACCCCCCCACCCCCAGCCAAATTAAATCCGCTGGCAGAAAGCAGGGCATCCCCCCCGGAAGCGGCGTCTTTTTACCTTGCTCTTCTTCTCTTTCCGAAGATGCTAAACTACTGGCGGACTGCAGAGGAGAGGGGTCCCGTCTTCTCCTGATGTGTGAGTAACCCCCACCCCGCGCTGTCTTCGTTCTTCCATCCTCTCCCCCTCCCCCACCGCCAGTCCCCTGATTTTCCCACCCCCTTTTTGCGCAGTTAAAAAAAAAAAAAGTAAAGCAATTTCTGCTGCGAGCCTAAGAGGGGCGAGCCGCCCGAGATCTCTTCAAGATACCCCAGGGGAGGAGGTGATGGGCTGGATTTAGTAGGACAACTCGATTACTAATGACTCCGCGGCTGGCTGCGACCCGCCGGGAAATCAGGTGCAAGCATGTGTGCTCCGGGACGCGCGTGTGGGTGGGTTGGCGGGGGCCGGGAGGAGGGGGAGGGCGAGGAGAGAAGAAACCGCTTTGAGAAACGCAGTGATTTCATTCTGCCGCGTTGCCCACTCCCCGCATTCTCCCTGCCTCCCACTCCGCCCCCTTGCTTTGCCATTTTAATCGGGCTTCCTTGTTTCTCTCTCCCCCGCATCCTGCTCTCTCCCCGGCACCCTTCCCCAAGGTTTGCCTGTAGGTACCTGAACTGACACCGACGGTGCCTAAAGATGCTGAGCGGCGTTTGGTTCCTCAGTGTGTTAACCGTGGCCGGGATCTTACAGACGGAGAGCCGCAAAACTGCCAAAGACATTTGCAAGATCCGCTGCCTGTGTGAAGAGAAGGAAAACGTCCTGAATATTAACTGTGAAAACAAAGGATTTACAACTGTCAGCCTGCTCCAGCCGCCCCAGTATCGAATCTATCAGCTTTTCCTCAATGGAAACCTCCTGACGAGACTGTACCCTAACGAGTTCGTCAATTACTCCAACGCTGTGACTCTCCACCTGGGCAACAACGGGCTGCAGGAGATCCGAACCGGGGCGTTCAGCGGCCTGAAAACCCTCAAGAGACTGCACCTCAACAACAACAAGCTCGAGGTGCTGAGGGAAGACACCTTCCTGGGCCTGGAGAACCTCGAGTACCTCCAGGCCGACTACAATTACATCAGTGCCATCGAGGCAGGGGCGTTCAGCAAACTGAATAAGCTCAAAGTGCTCATCCTGAATGACAACCTTCTGCTGTCGCTGCCCAGCAATGTGTTCCGCTTCGTCCTGCTGACCCACTTAGACCTGAGAGGGAACAGGCTGAAAGTGATGCCTTTCGCTGGCGTCCTTGAGCACATTGGAGGGATCATGGAGATTCAGCTGGAGGAGAACCCATGGAATTGCACTTGTGACTTACTTCCTCTCAAGGCTTGGCTGGACACCATAACTGTGTTTGTCGGGGAGATTGTCTGTGAAACTCCCTTTCGACTGCATGGGAAAGATGTGACCCAACTGACCAGGCAAGATCTCTGTCCCAGAAAAAGTACCGGCGACTCCAGCCAGAGGGGCAGCCATGCAGACACGCACGTCCAAAGGCTGTCGCCCACCATGAATCCCGCTCTCAACCCAACCAGGGCTCCCAAAGCCAGCCGGCCCCCCAAAATGAGAAATCGCCCGACTCCCAGGGTCACCGTGTCAAAGGACAGGCAGAGCTTTGGGCCTATCATGGTGTACCAGACCAAGTCCCCCGTGCCCCTCACCTGCCCCAGCAGCTGTGTCTGTACCTCTCAGAGCTCAGACAATGGTCTAAACGTAAATTGCCAAGAAAGGAAGTTCACGAATATCTCCGACCTGCAGCCCAAACCTACCAGTCCAAAGAAGCTCTACCTGACAGGGAACTATCTTCAAACTGTCTATAAGAACGACCTCTTAGAATACAGTTCTTTGGACTTGTTGCATTTAGGAAACAACAGGATTGCAGTCATTCAGGAAGGTGCCTTCACAAACCTGACCAGCTTACGCAGACTTTACCTGAATGGCAATTACCTTGAAGTGCTGTATCCTTCTATGTTTGATGGACTGCAGAGCTTGCAGTATCTCTATTTAGAGTATAATGTCATCAAGGAGATTAAGCCACTGACCTTTGATGCTTTGATTAACCTACAGCTACTGTTTCTGAATAACAACCTGCTGCGCTCCCTACCCGATAATATATTTGGGGGAACGGCCCTCACCAGGCTGAATCTGAGAAACAACCATTTTTCTCACCTGCCTGTGAAAGGGGTTCTGGATCAACTTCCGGCGTTTATCCAGATAGATCTGCAAGAGAACCCATGGGACTGCACCTGTGACATCATGGGGCTAAAGGACTGGACAGAACATGCCAATTCCCCGGTCATCATCAATGAGGTGACCTGCGAATCTCCCGCAAAGCATGCCGGGGAGATCCTGAAGTTTCTGGGGAGGGAAGCTATCTGTCCTGACAGCCCCAACTTGTCAGACGGAACCGTTTTGTCCATGAATCACAACACAGACACTCCTCGGTCGCTTAGTGTGTCACCCAGTTCCTATCCGGAGCTCCACACTGAAGTTCCACTTTCCGTCTTAATTTTAGGATTGCTTGTTGTCTTTATCTTATCTGTCTGTTTTGGGGCCGGCTTATTCGTCTTTGTCCTAAAGCGCAGAAAGGGGGTGCCCAGTGTGCCGCGGAGTGCCAACAACCTAGATGTCAGCTCCTTCCAGCTACAGTATGGGTCTTACAATACCGAGGCTCAGGATAAAATGGACGGCCACGTCTATAACTATATCCCCCCACCTGTGGGGCAGATGTGCCAAAACCCCATCTACATGCAGAAGGAGGGAGACCCGGTAGCCTATTACCGAAACCTGCAAGACTTCAGCTATGGCAACCTGGAGGAGAAGAAAGAAGAGCCAGCCACGCTGGCTTACACGATAAGTGCCACTGAGTTGCTTGAAAAGCAAGCCACGCCGAGAGAGCCCGAGCTGCTGTATCAGAATATCGCGGAGCGAGTCAAGGAACTTCCCAGTGCAGGACTAGTCCACTATAACTTTTGTACCTTACCTAAAAGGCAGTTCGCCCCTTCGTACGAATCTCGACGCCAAAACCAAGACAGAATCAATAAAACCGTTTTATACGGAACTCCCAGGAAATGCTTTGTGGGGCAGTCAAAACCCGACCACCCTTTACTGCAAGCTAAGCCGCAGTCAGAACCAGACTACCTCGAAGTTCTGGAAAAACAAACTGCAATCAGTCAGCTGTGAAGGGATGCTGCTCCGAACTGTTGGAGGCACTACATTTGCTTTTGTGTGTGTTTGTGTTCTCCCTCCCTCAGCATCAATGGGGGACTGTGAAAATGTTTGGGGGATGGGGCGAAGCAATGATACTGCTTTTCCAAGTTTTCCTTTAAATTATTTCTCTCTTGCTTCCCCGCACCCCACCCTCTCTTCCTCCTCCCCCTCCCCCCAATTCTCTCCTTAGGAATCATCAGTGAACATGAATGTTTCTACAGTGCATTTTGTTCATATATTTTGTTTATGGTTTTGTTTCTTTTTTCTTCTTTTATTTTTCCAGTGTGGGAATGGGAAGAGGAGATTATAGTGAATGAAGAAAGAGTAAGCAGACTTTTCACGTAAAAATGGATATTTAGCGTATTTTGTAGAAGATCTCCAAAGATCTTTTGAGACCATAAATTCTTTTGTAAATAATGATATATGGTATTTCTGTCTTCAGTTACCAAGTATAGCCACTAGGCATCACTTCTTTGTGTTAAAGTGCCTTTGCACTTTAAGTACATTACTTAAGTGTTGCTTTTAGCTTCGATAAATTGAACATATTTTAATGTGTTGTATTTTTGAAATTAAAAACACTGTAAAATAGATCAAAATGTCAGCTATATTAAGTCAACGTACAGTTTGCTTGAGTTATAGAAACCAGCCTGTCATCAAATGATTCTAGTTGTAGGACTTTAGAGATTTAACTGTAAAATATTTCCTTTCCTCTGGGTTTGTTCTAAGTGATTTTATTTAAGTCAACTAAGGGGATTTAACAGTGGACTAGAGGTAAGAAGCTGCCTCAGTCGGGATTAGTAATTCATTAATAAAAGATATTTAACCCAATCTCAGAGTGCATTGAACAATTAATGCCCTTCCGTAAACCATTATTTTACACTAACGTGGTCAGTGTTTTAGATTATTTTCCTAATTAAGAGTGCATTACACAACTTGTAATATATTTTTTCTGCATTAAATTAGATATTTTTATATATTTAAATGACAGAGTCTGTATTTCTAACTTTTTAATTGATATTAGTATTTTTTCTGCCTATTGAAACACTTTCTATAAACACACACCAGTAGAGGCCGCCACACACCTCATTTAATAAAGACATATGAGCCATTAAATACCTTGAAGGAACCCCTTCAAAGGTGAGATTAAAACATCCCAAGTAAGTTCTCTGCAAATTCAAGGCAGCAGAGACAAACGTGTACATCACTTTCTATTTCTTTTAGGATTAAAGATTAGGCTCCGAATCCTCAATTTTCACATTTTCCGAGAAAGCAGCGTTTTCCTCTTACATTTATTGAAGCGTTAATGAGGTGCTATCAGATCACGTACTCTGCATCTCCAAATCAATTAAAAAGTACCTAAACCAAGAAAGGAAGCATCTTTTCTCGTCTGCCTTCTTTAGGCATGTGTTACTTGAATTCTTCCCTGTCAGCTCAAGCAAGACTTTCGTTTTGGTCTTAGCATTAGAATGATTTTAACTAACCAAGTCTATATAACGTTTATGAAGGCTTATTAGCCTGTAAAGAATTTTTAGATGCAAACATTATTGTGCGATTTGAACAAACAGCCCTTCTTTACAACAAAAAATAGTTTTGTTTTGTCTATTGTAAATCCTTATGCAACTGGGATGGTGATCTGCATATAAAGTAGTCCAGCTTTTCAATTCCTTATTAAAGCAATTGATGGCGTCTGAAAGAAGCACACTGTTTCCTTTTCATAAATAGGTTACTGCACATAATAATCCTTTATTATCATGTGGAGATTGAAGTGGATCCTGATAACTTACTTTTAAAGCTTTAAAATGACTAATAGTATATTGTCTGTCACTATAAACAATTCATGTGATAGGCTTGCAATTAGAAATTACTTAAGTCCAAATGATTTGGATTAAGAACTACTGGTGCAAAATTTTTTTTTTTAACAATAGAAGTTAATTGTGTATATTTGAATGTAAAGGGCATTCGGGGAAAAAATGCCTTTAACAACCTAAAATCTCTGAATATCTACAGTGACAAGCTAACATGTTCACTCTTTGATTAGAGATCATAATTACTATTCAAATCCATTAGATCAAAGTCAAGAATGGTGGCCCGAAATGATCTACAAGAAAGTTAATGTAGTGAGATTTTACATTTCATACAAGAGGAGAGAGAATATTATGCTAAGTGAACTTGGAGACAGCTCCCAGAAAAACCACCTCCTCTTTGAGTGAAGTATATACATATACGTGTGTGTGTGTGTGTGTGTTTTATATATATATGTATATCTATATACGTATATATATACGTATATCTATATACGTATATAGATATATACATGTTATATATATATAAAAGAGTTTCAAAAATCTTCTTGTGGCTGCTTTCATTTGGTGCAATGATAAACACAGAATACAGAGGTAGATATTTTGGGAAGTGATTATAAAGGCAAATTAGGATACATATCCTGTTAAGATAGTTTTTAAGTTTAAACTATACATCTAACTAGAACTACTGATGTAGTGACTCCACGTCAGGGTTTGTTCTCATTCACCTGAAAGTCATTCCATTATCCATAGAGAAACCCATTTCATTGATCTGAAACAGAGATAGCTTAATATTCATGTAGTTACATGATTTTTAAGAGGCCTCCTGGAAGAACTCAGATTCATACACTCTCTCGCTTAGTACTTATGGTGCAAATCCAGATTCTCACGTTCTTTAGATTTTTACTTCATTTGTATTAGGTTTTAAGATGAAATTGTTTGAATGTGGTTCAGACTATTTCATTTAAAAGGCCTCATACACCATATACTCTGAAGCTTTATTTCCTAACGCAATCACAAACACTTTTACGTTTATTAACTTATTAGCATCCCCACCAACTATATTATTTTGCTTTATCCACTCAAGTGCTATTTTATTGTAGGATTTTGTTTTTATCTCCTACAGCTGGATTTTGCTATTTCACTTTTATTTCCTATGCAACCTGTAATGGGCATGAGCATCAGCACAGCGAAATGGTTCCAGCCAACAGAGTGTGATCTCCCACGGCCCTGCCTGGAACAGATCTATGTGTCTGGCCCTACAAATGGCAAATGGTAATTTCCTTCGATTCTAGCTCTTAATGATTTGCTTTCATTGTTTCTGAGTATACCTGTGGCTAAGTTTGTATTGAAACACTCAAAAGTACTATTTCTCGGTCTGGACACAACTGCCAAGTTTGATTTGGTTTTGGACTTTAGTCAATCTGTTTGCCTTTTTTGTTCCCTCCAGCAGTTGGTGAGTAAGGAAATGACTCTTCAAATTCCTCTGCTTTGCCCTCTGACCTCTAAGGTGATTTAATTTTTCTAAATATTTCCATGTCATCAAGGGCTCCATATTTTAATGGGTTCTAAAAAAAAAAAAAAAAAACCCGTATAGGGAACAAGAGAGAGATTCTGTGATTTTTAAGACTCTGGAAATTCATTTTGACTGTACACATTCCAGAAACATACTGGATTGGATGCTAGAGTGAAGAAAGCTTTTCAGACGATTCTCCCAATTCAATCATTTCTTCATTCATTCATCGTCCAATAAATATTTATTGAGTGCTTGCTTCCTAGGTGCCAGGCTCTATGATGTGTGCTGGGTGGGGGGCACAGAGATAGATAGGATCTCTGCCCCCCCAACCCTCCCCAACCCCCCCCCAGGGAGCTTACAGCTAATAAAGGAGAACCTTATTTGAATGACAATCGCCCAGAGTCAACAATGAGAACAGTAAAGAAATGCAGGAAGTTGGATTTTTAAAGGTGATTCTGTGCAATGAAGTGTAAGAGTAAGATGTCATAGACTAGCTACAGTGTAACCACCGTTAACATCTCTTTAAAATTACGCAGCTAAAAAGGGGGAAAACCCCACAAAAATAAAACAAATTTCTGCAGGATAGGGCCCAATATTATGGCCTCAAGATAGCTACAGACTTTGGCTATCTAAAGATCTACATTATAAAGATGAGTCCCAAAACTGTAAATACAAAATCACAAACGTACTTAAATTTTCTGGAATAGCCATGTTTTAGAGGCAGTATTTGCTTTATATTTCAGTGGCTTAAAAGGTAACATTTTGGCTTAAGTGTCCTTTACCAGTACTATGATAAGACACTCGCCTAGATCCTGAGAGAGAAAATTCAGTACTGTATATAGGTTTACTTTACTTCTCACAATGGTTGTGCAAAAAGTCACGTGTAAACTGAAATTTTGTAAGTCAAATTGTATTTTCAATGCATTAGGGGAGCTGCCACTTAGAGGAAACTTGTGAATCGTTTTCTAAAGCAGAAAACCATTTTATAATACAAGTCATCCCTCTTATTCATTGGTTTTTGTATGTTTGGGTTTTCAATATCGACTTTGCTTAAACCAGAGCCCACCTGCCACATAAGAGTGTGTTCTGCACGTGCTGCAGGTCTCTTGGGTGCTAAGGGCTTGTACTTGAAACTCTGCTGCTCTTTCGTGTGAACTGAGCTACCGAGCGATTCCAGGATGCACAGTAGCATGCCTGAGTGGTCTGAGTAGCCAACCCGCTTCACCTGAATTGAACACAGGACTCTTGTCCGCAGCATCTCCTCTCTCAGATGTGGCTGTGTTTTCTTAGAGGGTAGAGTGACTCCTGTATTCACATCCTATAAAGTGCTTAGAGTCACAGGTTTTATAATAAATATGTTATTATGTAAATATATTGAATTGCATGTGCGTTGGAATTTTTTAGCGGTATTTTAGCTTGAAAGTACCTGTACAAATACTGTAAGAGTTAGTGGCAAATAATTGTTGTCAAGTTATTGTAATAAATGGCAAATGAAACAAGTTCTCGTGTAGACTTCTGTACCAAGTAGTGACATTGTCTAAAAAACTGAATGTCATGGTTTGGGCTGTTAATAGGCAAAATGAAATACTGAAAATGTGATCAACGACATTGTGTTCTATTGGATAAACTGTTTATACAGGTACTTTATGCTAGAGTTAACTTTCAG